ACATTCGTTCATTGTTGCCACATCCCGTCCGAAAAGAACCCGTTCGGATAGACAGCGATCAGAACCACGGGAAATTTCGGCACTACATGATTCGCCGGATGATTCTTCACATTCGGAATATACCGCTTCGTTCCCTGGATCCGACTCAGATGACAGGGAATGTGCATACGTGGGCAAGCATAAGAAACCCTTTAAACCATATCAGAAACGTACGGATTCGAAACCAGTCGGTGATTATAAAAATGACACAAATCGAAATGAGAATGATACGAAAGCAGGAACCATCGTCGACCCATTTCTCACTGTTGAGGGGGACGAAAATTTACGATGTGCAAAATGTCTCGTGTGGGGTCATCACTTCAAAAGGTGTCGAACCCAACCGAATCGGGTGATATGCTACAAAGAGTGACGTCGGATCAATGCCCGTGTTCAAAAAACGCATAAGTGAGTCGATTGGGAATAGTGGCCCATCGTACTCAGAATCCATAACTTTTTCTAAATCCACTGTCTCTAATAATCCTCATTCTACCGAAGTCCCTCTACAAATCGACACATCTTCAGTCCCGAATTCCAGTAATAATTCTACTCTGATTCTTAACGAATATAATCAAACTCAAAGGGATGGCAAAGAACCATCAACCAAATGTTCTGAACGAACACCACCAATTACCAAACCTACTTCAGCTCCAGTCCCTAATCACAAATAAGACGCGGTTAATCAAGTTAACCAACCACGACTCCGCGAAGTTTTCTTTATCTCAGAGAAATGTTTGACCTATAATATTCCGAACGATTGTCGCGATTATCTCACGGTTAGGGTTAACAACAATTCTCATACGGTTTTACTCGATGGTGGAGCCGAAGTCACAGTCGTATCACAAACGTTTTATGAGAAGCACAAATGGGGACAGTTGCAACCTACCAATACATCCATTGGTCTTTCCGATAATTCGATCTCTTTTAAGGCCATTGGTAAAGTGAATGTATTATATACGGTCGGCAGTCTTACCCGAATTGTGCCAACTATTGTCGTTCCGATCTCACTGAAACACCCAATTATGGGACAGACATTCCTTACGGCCTTCTTTTTCGAACTGGTGCAGAACCAAGAAAAAGTGGAGCGATTTTTAAAAAATACAGCCAAAGGTGATACGGAAGAGGTTGCATCCGCGAAAGTTGAAATGGTTACAGCGGATGAATTTATTAATTTTTGTAACCAATGGAGTGGGAAAGAACCAGCTCAGGTATCTTCTATGAGTAGTGATCTGGAGCCAATTGACGCTTCCACACTCGGTTTAGACGGTGAAATAGATACACCAAAAATAACCAGCGTCAGCCTTCCACATAATCTCACTCCAGAACAAAGACAAATGTTGGACGCCGTTCTCAAACTTTTTAATCCAACTCCTGTGTCTGGTCCCTTAAATGTCACTAATCAGATCGAACACGTAATTGACACAGGTGATGCAAAACCCGTCATGAAACGCCAGTATCCAGTATCGCCATATGTGGCTGAACAAGTTCAAGCCGAACTGGACAAAATGCGTAGTCGTGACATCATTATGACCATCGAAGAAAGTCCTTGGCGGTCACCAATTCTGGCTGTAAAAAAGAAAGACGGAACTTGTCGCGTATGCTTGGACGCAAGAGAGTTGAATAAAATCACCGTTCCAAATGCCTATCCAATTACGGATACTCACCAAATTTTAGCACGACTAAAGTCAGCAAAATACCTAACCAGTATTGATCTGCCTCAAGCTTTCTTTCAAATTCCCTTGGCAAAATCGAGCCAACTGAAAACCGCATTTGCATTCGGGAACAGGCTTTACGCTTTTCGTCGCATGACGATGGGGTTGAGAAATTCACCCGCCACATTAGCCATAGATAGATAGATAGTTGGTTGGGTATGGCACTGCGACCAGTAGGTCTATTGTGCCCCTAGCTCATCACAATACATCAACCAGCCCCAGAGTGTCTATAAATTTCATAATAGACCCCGGGGACAGTGAGTGTATGTGCTCCTCTCTTGGCCAGACATGCCCTATGCTCCTATACCTCCTGCGTGCAACGGCATCACACTCCATAAGAAGGTGTAGAGGTGCCCTCTGAGCCTACAGTGGCCCGTCAAAAAACCTGTAATAATCCTTAGTTTCTCTTTTGGGAGATCCATGAGAAGCCTGTATCTTGACAGATTGTAATCTCCTAATAAGCTTTTTGCCTGACGTTGGCCCATGGTGCCAAGCCAGTGTAATTCCCTCAGTTTGCTGTTGTCCCTTCTGAGCATTTCCTTTATGGTGTTTGGTCCTACTGCCAGAAAGGGCTCAGGTCCTATCGGGGTCGAGGAAGCGGCCGTTCTGGCCAGATGATCAGCTTCCTCATTTCCTGCGACCCCCATGTGCCCTGGTACCCACATTAGTTGGATATCATTGACCTCCGCCAGAGCATTGAGCCTCTCGACACACTCCCTAACCAAGGAGGACTTGATCTCGAATGATGCGAGGGCCCTTAATGCCGCCTGGCTATCACTTAGTATAAGTATCCTTTCATTCCTATAGTTCCTGCGAATATTAATCTCAGCGCACATACTGATGGCATAGACCTCCGCTTGAAAGATGCTAGGGAAAGTCCCCAGGGACACCGAAAGCTTCAGCCTAGGGCCGTACACGCCTGTTCCAATCCCCGCGGGTGTTTTAGAGCCGTCCGTGTACCACTGTATTGTGCTCGCTTGTATGTGACTCTCCATAATAGAGGTACACCAGGTCGCCTTGCTATAAGTGTGGGTCCTGAAACTTCTCTTGAATATCACCTCTCTGTTAATATCGTCCCTGGGGAACAAAGCCAGGGGGAGCTGGGTGCCTAGCTCGTCCCTGTTCCTAGATGATAACACCTTGCCTTTGCCGAAGCCCTCTCTCGCAAAGTTAAGGAGGGTTCGCTTTGCAGCCTGTTCAATTGAGAGATGCAGTGGCTCGAGTTCCAGCATTACCTCTAGCGCTGCCGTCGGGCATGTGCGCATTGCTCCCGTAATGCAAACACATGCCAGACGTTGAATCTTGGAGAGGGTCTGCCTCACCGTTCCTATAGTAGTCCTGGAATACCAAGCCACCGCACCATAAGTCACTATTGGTTTCACTATCATTGTGTACATCCATCTGAGGATCCTCGGAGTGCACCCCCCAGGATTTACCCGCCAGACGTTTGCACACCATCATCGCTCTCGTGGCCTTAGAGGTGACCGCATCAACATGGGCCCTCCACAGAAGCTTGGAGTCCAGGGTAAGCCCCAGATACTTAACCTCTGTGGCGACACTGATTGCGACCCCGTCCAAGGTCAAGTTCCTCATCCCCTGAAGATTTCGTTTCTTGGTGAAGGGGACTATGGCTGTCTTAGAAGGGTTGATATTTAAACCTACGTCTGTGCACCACCTTTTCGCAAGGTTAAGTCCTTTTTGGACGATGTCACAGAGAGTACTTGCGAACTTCCCTCTAGCGATAATCACTATGTCGTCCGCGTACCCTTGGCAGCGGACGCCCTCGTTAGTGAGTATCTGTAGGAGTTCGTCCACAACTAAGCTCCACAGTAGAGGAGATAATACCCCCCCTTGTGGGCACCCTTTCGTCGTTTGTATTTGAACGACGCTGTCACCGACTTCAGTTTCGGCAATCCTGGTCTGAAGTAACCTTGCTATCCATCTTCGGATGGTTGGCTGAACGTTATGTTTCCCAAGAGCTCTGTCGACTCCCAAATGGGAGGCGTTATCGAAGGCCCCCTCGATATCGAGGAAGGCACAGAGCACCACCTCATCACACTCAAAGGCCCCTTGTATTTCCTCCGTTAAGGCATACAGCGCAGTATCCGTGGATCTCCCCACCCTGTACGCGTGCTGGTTGGAACGCAGAGGGGTTTGTTTTAGAGTGTTATACCTGATTTCATGGTCAATAATTTTCTCCATTGCCTTTAACATAAAGGATGTGAGACTTATCGGCCTGAATGACTTGGCAAGAGAGTAATCCCTCTTACCTACCTTCGGGATAAAAGTAACCCTAGCCCTTTGCCACACCTTGGGAATGTGAGCCAGTGCTAGACTGTCCCTCATAATGTCCACCAGATGTGGCAGTAAGAGCTCCCCGCCCTGCTTTAGTAACGCCGGACATACACCATCCACCCCAGGGGCCTTGTACCGTTCGAAGGAGTCCAGAGCCCACCGCACTGTTTGCCGGTTTATAAGGCTTCTAGCCACCTTCCAGTCCGGTGGGGATGGCCTGAACGCACGGAACAACGTATCCCCAGCGGTGGGAATGGCGTCCGGAAAGTGGGCCGATAGCAGGGCGAGTGCCCTCTCCTGTTCATTACCTGAAAAGGCCCCATTAGGTAGCCTAATAGCCAGTCTGGTCCCTGTGTTGTCTCTCGCTAAGGCTTTATGCAGCCTAGCAGCTGCAGGAGTAGATGCGATATTCTCACAAAAGGTTCTGAAGCTGCTACGCTTGGCCTTCCTAATCTCCTTATTGTATTTTGTTAGACAGACTGAGTACTCCTCCCAGCTCCCGGTGCGCTTTGCCCTGTTGAAAAGTCTTCGCACATCTTTCCTAAGAACTGAGAGTTCCCGTGTCCACCAGGGAGGCTGAGCTTTCCCTTTTGGCTTTGACACGGGACAGCTGGAGGTAAAGGCATCCAGAATGGTGCCGTTCAGCTTGTTGACCCTGTCCTCTAACTCCATACAATCCACCTTTCTATGTTGTGCCTCTATTCTGCTTAGGTTCAACCTAAGTACCTCTTCATATTTATCCCAGTCTGTTTTCCTGGGGTTCCTCTTTGGGTGACCTGTCAGAACCTCAGCTCCCAGTGCAAATCGGATAATCCTGTGATCCGACAGTGAGGGCTCAGATGAGACCTGCCACTGGCCAGTCTGTTGCTGAGAGTGATGTCGAGTACCTCCTCTCTGACCCTGGTTATGAACGTTGGTTCATTACCGACATTATGGATGCACAGGTCTTCACTGATAATATATTCTAATAAGCACTCACCCCTACGGTTTGTGTCCGAGCTGCCCCACTCTATATTGTGGGCGTTCGCATCGCAGCCGAGAATCGCCGGAAGTCGTTTCCTGCGGCAAAATTCCAGCAGCTGCTGTACCTCAAGAGGCGGCACGTTGGCGTTGTCCCCCGGAAAGTAGGCTGCAGCCAAGACCACCTCCAGTTCCTTCCCGTTGACCCTTAAGGTAGCTTGGACCGCTACCAGATCCTGTGTAAGAAATTCTGTAATGCAAAAGTAATTAATATTATTCTTTAGCACTACGCACGCTCTGGGCCTCTCGCAGGAAAGGTCCCAAATTACCTTATTGTTGTTATGATTGAGGCCCCTCACCTGGCCTCTGTAGGTCCACGGTTCCTGAATCAGTAGGATTCCCAGGTCCTCCGTGGCAAAAATGCTTGCAATGATCGCCGAGGCGGCCACCGCATGATGCAAGTTGACCTGGGCTACTGTTAGCGCTGTTGGGCTCATAGTTGGGGCTCGTCCTCGATGTTCGAGAGCCGTGCCTCACCCTCGCCCTCTCTGTCGAGTTCGAGCCTGCCTATGTCCGCTAGGAGCTCCTGTGTGGTGCGCATGTAGTCAGTGACACTTGGCCCGGGAGCGCTCACAAGAGCTGGTGCCTGTGCTAATTCCGATAGCTGATCTTCCAGTGGGGCCGTGGTCGACTCGGTCGCTGGGGCAGCAGTGGAGTCAGTAGTCTCGTCGACTTGCATGTCTTGGGACTCTGACTCCTTGCTGCCTGTCGTCTTATGCCGCCATGGCCGCACCGTAACATAACTGTAACGGAAGTTGATTGTGAATCCGGCCCTCTTAATGCTGACATACGACGCCTCATCGATCCCCAGGTTGAGCCTGAGACCGTTGTCTTCGGCGCCGCATGAAACCACCTTCCACGCAGCCGTGTGGATGTCCTCATTCTGGGCCTTGATGAGCCCCAGCACGTACTCCGCCGATTTCTCGGCGCATCTTGGGAAGAACACCGAGATATTATGCACCGGCGGGATATCCTCCCCCCCTCTTGGTACATAACGCGGGCCCCTCCCATCCCTCAATGTTTGGTGCCTTATCTACCAGCCATGCTGCGGTCCGCTTATCCTTGCAGTCCACAAGGAGCATACCTGACCTGAAAAATACCCCACAAAAAACCAGTGCGTGCTTCCACCCTTTAAGGACCTCATCCATGATGGCGTCCTGGAGTTTGGTCAGGTCCTCAGGGCTTAGGGCAGCAGCAGGGTAATCACAGGGCAATACAGCCACCCGGATGCCTTTAAGAGCATCCGAATAGCTAGGCTGCTTAGTGATTCCCTCCTGTGGCTGACCCTGGCCCGCGGACCCATCCAAGCCCCTAGACTCTGTTGGAGGGGGTGGGAGCCCCCGCGGTCGTTTGGGGGACGGTGGCTCAGGTGGTGTGACCTGTAGGCTGGTGCGTTTTGGAGTAGCTGTTGTTGAGCCTGTTGTGCTACCTGTGGGTTCCCCGCTTCTCCGCCATTTGGCGGGCGCGGGTCTCTGCTGCTGTTGCCCGCTTCTCTGCTTTTCAGCAGGCGCGGGTTTCTGATGCTATAGCCCGCTTCTCTGCTTTACAGCAGGCGCGGGTCTCTGCTGCTGTTGCCCGCTTCTCTGCTTTTCAGCAGGCGCGGGTCTCTGATGCTGTTGCCCGCTTCTCTGCTTTTCAACAGGCGCGGGTAGTTCACCTCTCTGCTGCATACCAGCGGTTGCAGCCGTCTTACCACTCAATTGTGCCTCTTTCTCCACCTCTTGTCTTACTTCCGCCATTGCGCGGGCTACGCTCGGCTTCTTCTCCTGCTCCAGGTACCGGAGATACCACTTGACTCCCGACCCACTAAGACCAGCTCGATGGTGGTCGTCAAGGGCTCCCGGTTGACCGGAGGGCGGAAGTGGAGGCGGTCTACACCTGCGGCTTCTCTTTTTGCTGTCTTGCAGCTGGCACCCTGACTCGAGCGATGAGGTTCGACTAGGAGACCTGCGGTGCCTACTGCTAGAGCGGTGCCCACTGCCTGAGCGATGCCTGCTCTTCGAGCGATGCCGACCCTCGGATCGGCCTCGGCTCCCCGAGCGGTCATGGCTCCCGAAGCGGTCACGACTCCTGGAGCGACGCCAACTGGCCCCCCCGGTACCTGCTTGGCGATCGGTGCCTGTTTTTTGAGGCCTGAGCCTCTGCTCCCTTGGTGCCCTCCGACCGAAGCTGCGCCCGATCCACGCCGCCACTGCTAGTGCTTGGCCTCTCATCTTCTCTGGCGTGTTCAATAAAAAGGGCAGCCTCCTCCTCGGATAGGCTCGCAAGAAAGCCTCCCCTGCGCCTGGTGCCTTTACTTTCGCCCAGCATAGAACTGCCGAGCTTGGCCGTTGGTACCTTTGGTGCCATTGACATAACTGTCTTCGTGGCTGCTGCTGCTGTTGTAGCTGTAGTTGTGACTGTTGTAGAAGCTGTTGCTGATGTTGTGGCTGTTGCAGCTGTTGTGGCTGTAGTTGTAGCTGTAGCTGTAGCTGTTTTCGCGGATTTCGCGATGGTTTTGTTGTTTTTGTTGTTTTTGTGTTTTTTGGTTTTTAGTTGTATTCATCTGGTTCGTACGACTGCCAGCTCGGCTAGGCAAGCTCAGCAGTCAAAGTTGTAATAGGGGATCTCATCTGGTCCGCCGCGCCAGCGCCCCATGTCGCGGTAAGGCCACCGTTACTCCTCGATGCGGCCCGGTGTTGAAGAGGCGCCGTTATATTACAGCCGGTTTTTCCTCCTGGCTACAAACCGTCCAATAGGCACGGTGTCGCGTAACACCCTGGATTAGGAGGTGGCAGCTCTTGGGCACCGTTTGCCGGCAGCCCCAATCTGGAGACAAGGTAGCGCAGAAGCGACGAGCGCGTCCACGATACCCCAGACCAGAGATGGGCTGATCGGCAATTCAGCTAAGCCCCCGCACCAACGACAAGCTGCCTGCCCTAGCGAGGGCACATTAGCCATTCTCATTGATAAAATTTTCCGGGATTTGGTTCCACATGCATTCGCATACGTGGATGATTTCATAATTTGCACTTCGACGTTTGAAGAACACGTTAAGATATTGGCTATTGTTGCAAAACGTTTGGCTGGGGCCGGCTTAACCATCTCAACATCCAAATCGAATTTTTGTTGTAAACGATTGGAATTCCTGGGTTACGTTTTGTCTCATGAGGGTCTATCTGCGAATCCATCTCGTATTCGAGCTATTGTTGAATTCGCACGGCCCAAAACGGCAAAAGAAGTCATACGGTTTGTTGGTGCAGCAGGCTGGTACCGTAAATTTATTCCAAATTTCTCGGAGATCACAGCTCCCCTTTGTGAATTGTATAAAGGAACCCGAAAAGGACCCATTGAATGGAATACCGCTGCTGAACAAGCCTTTCTCAAACTCAAAGAGTGTTTAACTACTACTCTAGTTCTGACTATGGCAGATTATTCAAAACCATTCAAGGTTTATACCGATGCCTCGCTGATCGCGGCGGGAGCTGTTCTAGTACAAGAACATGATGGGAATGAACGGGTGGTTCAGTATTTTTGAAAGAAATTCTCGAAAGCCGAACAAAATTACACAGCATCAGAACGGGAATGCCTAGCCGTTCTCTTAGCGGTCGAAAAGTTTCGTCCATATTTTGAGGGTCGTGAATTGGTTGTGGTAACGGATCAGGCAGCGTTACGCTGGCTACAAACTCTCAAAGATCCAACTGGTCGCTTATGTCGTTGGGCGATCCGATTATCACCATACGAACTCAAAATTATTCATAAACCAGGAAAACATTTGGAACTTCCTGACGCCTTATCTCGTTCTTTTGCTCTTCTCAACATCGTTCGCAGAAACCCAATTGACCTTCCGAGTGATTTTCACGTGAATCTTTCCCCAATCACGTCCGTGATTAACATTGTCCCAAATACTGGCGATAAATGGTACAACAAAATGCATGCCATGGCCTCAAAACAACCATTAGATAGATACAAAATCGAAAACAACCTTCTATATTATCGATTGAAATTTTCCAATCAAAGTGCGGAAATACTGTGGACACTTTGTGTACCATCTTCAGAGAGAGCCAAAGTTCTCGATGAAAACCACAACCAACATTCGCATCAGGGTGTTTGGAAAACTTACAGACGTATCTCACAACGCTATTACTGGCCAAACATATATGAGTCCGTTTACCAGTACGTTCGGCAATGTGAACTATGCCACCGCATTAAACCAAGTAATGAGAGCACCAAAACACCTCACGGCGAATATAGAGAACCAAAACGACCGGGTCGTCAATTATCGATTGACTTCGTCGGTAAGCTGCCCATGTCTAATAATCGTAACCAATGGATCTTCGTAGCCATCGACTGCTACTCGCGATATGTCTGGGCGCAGCCCATGAAGAATGCAAACGCTATATCCGTAGTCAATTCTCTTCGACATATATTCACTGTGAATAGCTGCCCCGAACTCATTATATCAGATAATGGTACTCAATTCATCAGTCAAACTTTCGCAAAGCTTTGCGCCGGTTATAATATCAAACACATGAAACCCCCTTTGTACCATCCACAAGCCAATCAGGTGGAGGCGACAAACAAAAGCATAAAACTTGGATTACGTGCTCACATGGCTGGTCTTCTTGAACACTCCTCCTGGGAAAACCATCTTTCTCGTGTTATTCATGATATTAACACTTCAGTGCATTCAGCCACGGGCTACACGCCATATTTTCTGCACACCGGTCGTGAATATGTGAAAGATGGAAACGAATATAAATTAGTATTGGATGTAAACCCATACCATACCCAGGATGTGGAACAACGTAAAGTTCTGGCTGATGAAATTCGAGACAAACAGTTCGAACTATATCAACAAACCGCACAACGAGCATTGACCCGCAAAAGAGAACGCCATTTCGAGATTGGCTCGGAAGTATACATTCCCAATCCTAAACAGTCTGTGGCCGGAGAGGGCTATGCACAAAAACTAGCCCCACCAAAAATTAGAGCCTATGTTTCACGGAAACTTGGTTCGAATTCATATGAACTGATCGATGCTAAACACCGAGTTCTTGGCAATTATTCCGCCGATTTAATCACAACACGCTAACTTAGTCAATACCTTCGCCTTCTCAAGAAATTCGATGAATATATGGTGGCCCTCCATACTTGATAGATTTTGCATTATTACAAGGTACCCGGCTTCTAGTAAACAAAAACCAATGGGATATTCCCTTAGATTCGAAACACATCCCTAGCGCAATCGATCCGCCACAGTCGGGTAAATCGCGTATCGATAACTTTGCCGTTGCGCTAGTCAATTAGAAAGGGACATCGTCAGGGAAATTTGCAAAAACCGACGCCACTTTTACTTATTGGATTGCCGCGGT